CCAGTATAAGAAAAATGTTAGTCAGTTTGACCACATCCAGCAGAGAGCCAGCAAGATGGTCTGGACTGGCTCACATAAACTATGGGTTGAGACTGAAGGAATTGGGCTTGTTTGTTTTGGAGAACAGAAGGCTTAAGGTGAGGACCTAACAGCAGCCTTCCAGTGTTTACAAGGACGTTACTGAGACAGAGGCAGACTCTTCACTGAAGTGCACGAGGGGAAAATGAGATACTGGAGAACTGGAATCCTGACTGGGTATAAAGAACAAAAATTCACTGTACGGATAATTAAGCGCTGGAACAGGGCCCAGATTGCTGGAGGAATCTCTGTCCTTGGAGATTTTCAAGACTCAACTGGAAAAAGACCTGAACAGCCTGGTTTGATTTTGGTGTTGACCCTACTTTGGGCAGGAGGTTGGACTACGGACTGCCTGAAGTCCCTTCTGACGTGAATGGTTCAGTGAGTCTATAGTCTGTCACCTAATAGGGATCTATGAGTTACATTTAGAGATTTTATTTGTTTGCTTTTTTTAACAAACTTCTATTTATTAGTTCTGAGCATTTGTTATAGTTATAAATGAGTTGCCATCACTTGTAATTTGTTGGACTATACAAGGGTGTTAGTGACACATTGGCATTTTACTAAATTTTCAGTGTAGTCACTGGCTGTTTTCCACAGTTAAACTTTCCACAAATAAAGTACAAAATAAATCTAGCCTCATATATACAATCACTTACTTAACAGCAAAAAAGCTTCAATTATAAGAGAAGAGCTAAAAAAACTGAAATCCTTTGAAATCATTTCTCACTGCCCCAAATCTCCGCTGTAACACATCTCCAGTCATGTGTTTTGTCCTACCATGCTAATATTTCCTTTTCCTCCCCTGTTTCCGTTCTAGTTGGGAGATAAGAAGGAGCAGAAGAAAAACGTTAAGTGGCACAAGAAAAAACACCTGGAGAAAGCCAGGAGAGACAGCTGTAAGGAGATGCTTTTCTTTCCTTGAGGCTGCAGAAGCAAAGGGTCAAGGATGCCCCAAGTCGGGAGCTTTCCCATCAGAGGTATTGTCATTGGCTTTGAGTAGCTTAAAGTCCTCCAGAAAGCTTCGGTTCTTCATTTCTTTGGCTATTGACCAGTCGTAGCGCGTTCTCTTTTTTGGTCAGGGCCTGTCTATGCAGAAGAAATCTTTTGAGACTTTGCATCAATTTTCTTCTATTTCGGGGATCCCTCTTGGGTTGCTCTAACTGTAAAGTTTCAAAGAACCACAGAGAGTATAGGTTAGCTGGCCAGCTTTCTGCTGCTCCCTTTCTCTCTGTTGCAGAAATAGTGTTCTCTTGCCACCCACCTTTTCCAGCGCTCCCAGGAAAGAGAGGAACATCCTTAACTTGTGCCTGTGGAGGAAACAGACCGATATACTTGCTTGACTAGACCTCTCACACACACGAAAAACAAAACAAAGCAAAAACGAAGGAGCCTAAATATCTGAAAGCTTGAAGCTGTGATATGCACTTTAATGGATGATCTGTGTGCTCTCCAAACACAACCGTACATTGAAAATCTTAAGGTATTTTGGTTTGAGGTTATGTTATAGCTAATTCCCTGTGTTTTCAAACATCAAGCTTGCAAAGCTCAGAGGTTTTCCAAGGAGATAATCTTTGCTCTTCATCACTGTGACTAATTGGGTAGATTTTTCAGCTCTCAAGAGGTTGTTGCTGGTCCCCCAACATTAGGGGTTTTTCATTTGTTTTTTAGGGTCTCAGTTCCTAAGAATCTGTTTTCTCTTTTCTTTAATATTAAAATGAACACACCTGTTTTGCACCTGTGTAGAAAAACTTCAAAATGTGAAGCTCGATGGCTCAAGAACAGAATTAATTCCAAATGTAATAATTTATAGGAATGTGATATTAACTTTAATTTTACTTCTGAAAATTTCTAGTGAAGTATTTTCTCATGCAGTGATTTTTGACAAGTTCTATTAGCAAATAACACAGTTGCCACGAGAGATCAATGTTATAGATAATTTTGGTATTGCACCTTACAATTTTTCACATAATTTATAATCAGAATAACTGCATGGCAAGTAAGCTTTCTAACCATTGAAACACTCTGAATACCGTTCTGTTCATTATGCCCTCATATCCGTATATCAGCATTAGATGTTCAGTTCTGGGCAGCTAATCAAATTGGATATACTCACAATTTTCTTTCTGAACTCTGGACATCAGTATTCTGGCTATAGATTGCTATGCTGTTAATAGCTCAAAGAAGGAACCTATTTATAATTTTTAAAAGGCAGTTCAAAGAACTATGTGAAAAGTTGCAGATTTTGGTTACGGAGCATGGCAGGGCATTTTTAAAAATCAGAAAAATATATGTATCTGATTGCAATGTGAGTAATTCTGTACTGGTGGGAGGTAGTAGAAAGGTTGGGTGTTTGTATGATCCTATACTGTATCTTATTGCTTTTATGAATCTTAGGCAGATTTTGCTTTTATAGTCACTGGCAAGTCACTATAGCTTTATGTTTAACCTCTGAAGATATCTATCCTCACTATCCGCAAGGGTTTGTAAGGAAAAAGATCTCAGTGCTTTGCCTGAGGACTGCCCTTTTCTGGAGAAAAGGGAAGGAACTAGTAGAATGTACAAAGAGAGGAAAGATGAATTGATGTTATGTGAGCTATGTTCAGCTATGCTGATGAAATTAACGCTTCTTGTGAGGGGACAATGCATGTAATTTGCCCTAGGAGTATGTTGTGGAAAGACAGGATGGAGAGAAGATGGGAATCTCTCATGAGGCAACTGTTAAAAGGAAGAAACTTTTCATATAAATAAGAAAATATTTCTTCTTCCCTTCCTTAACTTCTCTTTCTTTAATGATTTATTATGGGTGGATCTGCTATTGCTGTAATTCTCAGCCTTTGCCCAGGCATTTTTCACATTTCCTGTGAGAACTGGTAGGACCAAAGCTGCCTCCAGAGTTCAGTTATAACAGGGCAGAGCAGGAGGAGAATCCGACACTCCTCTTTCCTGTATTTCCAAGCAAAAATTGTTTATTTGTTGGATTAATTGTTAAAGTTACAGACATGTCAGCAAAGGCACCATGTGATTTATTGCTGCTGATTTTGCATCATCCTGAAAGGTCATAGCCTGACTCAAATTACAGAGTGTGTTTGTAAGCCTGGCAAGAACAAAAGCGTTATTTTTGGTTAGGAGTGAAACTCATCGTGCCACGCAATGTTCTGTGTGATGGTGACTTTGCAGGGGTTGGGTTTTTGCCTCCTGCCGCCCTCTTCCCCCCTCCAAAAAAACCCCTTGACATTTGAGCTCATGACATCACATCGTATATCGTGTCGTCTAGTGAAGCTCTGGAGGGATGAGGGATGCTGAAGGCTAAATTAGCAAAAGCATGAAATGACAGGGGAGGCTTTAAACAGAGAGCTTTGAAACTGTTCTGGAGGACATGTACAGTGCGGTCTTTAAAAGTTAAAGTGCATTTTACATTTATTTAGTTGATCATTCAGAAACATGTTCTAAGCCTATATTCAAACGGCCACATCTTTATTATGATCAAGAAAATGTTTTGCCTACTCTCAACTATTATTTTTCTCTGGACTAGCTATTTCTGCTTTCTTGATTTATGATTAAGGATTTCTCAAAGCAGAAGGGAAATTTTATTCTGTGAACATACATACGTCTGTGCTCAGATTTCTCAGAGGAAAAATGAGAAGACTGTTTACTTTAAAACAAACAGAATTACTGGTTTCAGTTGCTCTTTTACTTAGTTGGCCCTGCAGGTGAAGAAATGGCTTCTTTTAATTTTGATTTTCAAACCCCTTGGGGCAGATGTGGGAGCCACCAGAAAGGTGAGACTTACAGACAAAAGACAGAAGGTTACCATTAAGAAGAAAAAGGTACTCACAACACAGGATGACTTTTCTTTAGTTATTTTTAGTAGCTCTGAATAATCGGCAGAAATATTCCTCTTCGGTTAGATGTTTGTAGATATCTGTTTTGGTGAATCTCTCTTCCTTCAAGCGTTTTCACTGGTAGGGGAAGTCAGACTGGTGGCAGGAGCTTTTCACCTGTTTATTTTTTGTTGGTTTGTTTGTTTTTGTTTCGTTTTGTTTTTTTTGCCTTGCCTATTTGAATCATGTCCTAATTTGTAGTTATTTCTGAAAGCAGCTCACTTGGCTAAGTGTGTAGTTCGCACCAAGAAATGATCATTGGTGAAGCTAGCTGGCATCCGAGCGCCGCGGCGGGGAGGGAGCCGGCGGTTCCTCGTGCACGTGGGAGCCCCACGCTCTTGCACAGTTCCCTCTCCGTAAGTGGCGAGCAGATGTGGCTGATTCGCAGAAGCAGGAGACTGGCTGCTGCTTCGTTGTTGTTTTCAGTATCCTGGCTCGGATACTGAGAGCCAGAGTGATACTATTGACTGCTTGTATTTCAGAAGTGTTAAGAGGTAAGACCTGAATTTAAAGTTTTCTTAACCCTCTGCAATTCTATTACTTAGTTTTTGTTTGCAAAATAGATGCTTGTGTTTGCATCAGTTACAACAGAACAACACCCTACCAGCAAAAACAATGTCCGTTACTATTAACAACCTGAGAAAATGTTTGAGGAATAAAAATAATGTTAGGTTAAACAAAGGATTGTCAATAGAAGCAAGACAAAAGGACTTTACTGGTGTGATCCCCATAACAATTTTGTATTGCCTTTGGTGCTATTTGAGTACGTGCATTTGCTTCTGAAGAAGCCAATAGCCTGAGATTTTCAGTAGCCTTAGCAGGAGCCCAAGAACTTGCCATTTGGAAGGAAAAGGAAAAGGAAAGGACTGTGTTTTAATCTCAAAGTATTGTTAGTTCCTTCCATTATTCCCCCCCCCCCCAAAAAAAAAAAAAAAAAAAAAAACGAAGTGTTGTATACTATAGTGAATCAGGAAAGAACAAAGGTTTAATTTTAGGCTTTTTTTTTTTTTTAACTGTTTGAAACAATTTTTTCTGAAAACAAAAAGCCCTGTGTTTTTTATGCTTAGTTTTAAGTAACTAGATACAAGATAACCATAGTGGTATATCATTTGTATATATAAGGTTTAACACGTGATCCTTGTGTCATTAATATAGGTAAAAACTCAAAATTATTTTAATATTTCCAGAGGTAGGAGATTTTAGATTTTTGTTTTCCTGGATTCAAAAAGTAATGTTGATTCCATCATGAATACCAAGACTCTCTCAGAAGTATTCTGCTTGCATGGTATTTGCCCAAACTGAGCAAACAATTTTAGGATAAGTAGCTTTTTTACTTGGCATGGTGCTGACACAGCTTCATGTTGACAGATGCCTTTGCATCTGTCTTTGTGATAGAAAGAAGACAGATATTCTCCTTGGCATTATAAAAGTTGCTGCTTTACAAAATGAGATGTAGAATCAGAACAAAAAGTCCAACAATGAACAGTGGTGTTAGTTTGCCTACAAGCAAAAAAGACTGAAACAGCCTCAGGTCAACGTAATGTAGTATGTTCTTACTGGAACTGAGTAACAGCTTTGTCATTTTTTAAAAGTAGGCTATAGAAAAAGAAATTTTATTTATCCACCTTTGTTAGAATATAAATGCTTGTTAATCAGAATGTTTATGATTCATTCCATGCCAACCATTTTTAACAGAGAGGTGTGTCAGTCTGTATAACTGCTTAAGTGTTACGTCACTTTACAGCTACAAAACCCCGTAAGTTAGTGCACTCTTGCCTGATGAACTGGCCTCCTGATTGTGTCACAAAGAAAAACACGAGAATTTCATATTGTTTCTTGGAGATGCTCTTGTCACACGAGGATGGAGACTGCCTTCACTACAGCATTGGCTATCCAGCCCCAGAAGAAGGAGCCACATAGGAGGAGCTCGTTCTGGGAACTGTGTGGCACCAGCCCCGCTGTGTCTCTCCAGGGCAGGTACATCGCTCTCATTCAAAGACAGCATAGCTGGAGAGCTGCTGCTCCTTCATCTTTGAGTGATTCTCTTTGAGCTGAGTGCCGTCTGTGTTAAAGCATAAAACATGTAGGCAGGCCTTAAGAGTAGTCTCAGGGGAGCATCTGGTTCCCTCCAGAGTGCTACCATGCTGGTCTGGTGAGAGCTGTCTCCTTTAAATCAATATTTAATGGTGTAGACGTTCCTGAGGAGAGGGAAAATCCTATGAGTTAAGTTTAGGAATGGGGAGCATGTCAGCAAAGAGGCCACAGCAGTGAGGTTTCCCTGTCGCAGCTAGGAAAAATGTGTGCAGACGTGGCCTGCACAGGGGTCCTGCTCTCACACCAGCAGAGCAATTTGTGTGCTGCTCTGTTCATTGGAACGTGCCTTCATATATGTGCTTTTTGCAAATGTGATGATCAGATATCTGAGCAGAATTAAGCAGGAAAATACTGAAACATTTCTACAAATAAAAATCAAGCCTGATGCCAAGCCTAAAAAAAAAAGTTTCCATTATAATTAGTCAGTCTGGATTAAAACATGGCTTGAATAAGTACGTCTCCTGATTATATTTCTTTTCTGGAAGACCAAAGACTTAGGAATTCATGCTGTAGTTTTGAACTAAAAGCTTTAGGGCTCTGGGGAAGATTCTCAGCGGGTGCAAGCTGCTACTCCTATTGTCACATAGAATGTACCAGGTCCAGAGCTGCCCTTTTGAGTTTTAATTAAATGTAAAGTTTAGCTTATGCCCCATCATGTCATTTAGACACTGTTTTTGCAATGGCTCTCCTCCCCCGCGCTTAGTCTTATTTTGCATCTTTCAGCCTGTGCTGAGAGAGATGTTGGGATCTGAGGGGGGTTTTTAAGCTAGTAAACGTCTCGGAGAAAATCGGAAATGATAATGTTTCTCTGGGACAATGATTGGGCATGATTAGGCTTGAATGCACTCTTAGGACATTTCCTTAATCTAGATGGTGATAAGACTGAAGGCAGAGTGCCAGTGGGAAGACCACGTACTGTAGTGCATCGAGTACTGGGCTGGCGCTCGAGACCGTGGTACTCCTGGTTTCGTCATGTTCAGAAAGGTAAGTAATAGCCACCCAGTTCTGCTGGCCCTAGCCCAAATCGTTTCAGCTCTCTGAACCTCAGTCCTTCCCCATCACTGAAGCTCAGAAAATAGAGCTGATCTTGTTTCAGCGCTTGAGCCCTGCTGATGGGGAGAGATGTGCATGTGTCTATTATTACTCTTGCTGAGCAGTGCTGCCCCCGCAAGCCTTACAGGACTTGACTTTCAGGGATGTGGAAGTGTGTGCCTCTCCCGCGGGAAGCGCATATGCACCTGCAACAGAACAAGGGCTCTGAGGAGCGCTTCCGCACACGCCTCGGGGGACACTGGTCTGTGCCTTGGGCGCTTTGGTCAGAGAGAACCTAGTGAAACAGAGAGCGCTTTGGTGAACAAGGTGGCTTTTACATAGCTATATGTAACCACAGTTTAAAAATAAGCAAATAACATACCTATCTTGGCTCTCTTATATGCAAGAACCACACTTGAGATAGATAGCTGTTTTACAGAGAGGGGCACAATGTCCTCAATAACAGAGAGATGGGCCTTTCAGTGCTAGAGTGCGCTTCAACAGACAGCGTAGTCCAGCTATGCAATAACTGTGTGTGCTAAGGGAAAAGAGAATCTGAAGGGTGTCTCTGGGACTATGTTTAATACATACTTGACTCTGTATCCATGCCAGATGAAATGGAAGCGGCTGTATGGTGGGAAGAGGCGGTCTGGTTTCTAATTTCGCTGTTCCTCAAGCGGGATCTCAAGATAGCAGTGAACATTCTCCCCAGCCAAGCCTGTGTGTGCCAACTCTGGTGAGTATAGCGCTCCTACAAATAACATTTAAAATACTTGTGATGAGCATTTGCCAGGATCACGTTATGCAGCATGACATATTGGCATGGTATTTGGATACTGGAGAGGTCTTCATTCACGCAGGCATTGTGGCTCATCTCTTATCATCTAAGAAGTTATTACACAGTATGTATGTAGTGAGTTCGCCTTGCTCTGCTAGTGTACAAAGGCTTCTGAACAAGGCCAAAAGACAATTTTACATCTTTTTGCTGGCAATTGATTTGGCCTCCTAGGAACATCTGGATTTGTTCCCACCCCCTGCACTCCCTGAACCCCTCTGTGAACTTTCAGCCCAGCTGCAATGATGGTTCAGCTGCTGCGCATGAAGCAGTTTCTGAACTGGTGCAGTTACAGCCCCAGCATATGATGGTGAGCTGGTTACAATTGCGAGTTTTGTGCATGTGCCAGTTTTAAAATGTAACTAACTGCTTTATGAGCAGCTGAGCGGTTGCGGTAGCTCCCTGATGAGTTCTCTGTAGCAGTGGCAGGAACCTCTACAGCCATCTGACTCCAAGCTGCTTGCATTTGACACAGACTGACTATACAGGACGGTTTCCAGTATCTGGCTCAAAATTGAGCTTGGTCCTTTCTTCTAAACTCCCTTTGCTGCTTCATGTGTTTTTAGTCTTAAATGAAACAAACTGTGTCCTAGGTCCTTTCTGCCCTACTGGGTAAGCAGTATCTGCTGGATAGGGTCAGTGGTCATTTACCAGTGCCCCTGAGTATAGGTTCAGCAAGTAAGAAGGCATACTGCATCGATACATAAACATGTTATATTTGGACAAGTTCCTTTCTCCTTTACCTTTTTTGCCTTTTTCTTTTACTAGTGTGTCAAACTATTACTGTCTATCATTCTAGCCTCTAGCTATATGTAAAGTTCATTTTTATAACTAAAGAAGCTTGAAATACATTAAAAAAAAAAAAACCTGCATTTAGGAGAGGTCAGTCACTGAAGCATGCAGGAAGTTCAGAACTCAGTCCCTTGCATATTTGTGCTTTTAGCACTATCTTCTAAAATTAAAATTTCTGGTATGAATTTAAATTTGCAGAAAGAATGCAGGGGGAGGAGTACAAAAGCATAGCTTGAAGCTGCATTTAATTTTTACACTCAATAAAAGGTAAAGTATTACACATAGTGTAAGAGTTGGTAATAATATGAAATACGTGTACGATCCAGTTTTCTAGGCTGTGGTGCTCTCCTTTAGTGCTTGCTGCTAATTAGGAAAAACTCATGTCGTAGGAAGAAATTATTCTGTGGTTTTTTTTTTTTTTTTTTTCCTTTTACCATGTACATGCTGGAACACACACTAACCTCTGAAAGATAGCAGTGCCCCTTATCGTGTTTCATCTTGCCCCCAAAACATTTGATGTAGGATGACTTTTTGCTAAAAGGAAACCAGCTCCCTTCAGAGAGCAGACTGAGAGGCGTGTGAGGCTTGTTGTAGTTGGCCTCCCTCCCAAAGGCTCTTAAAGCATGTATTTAGGCTTTCTTCTATGGGTATTTGGAGAGAGATGTTTTTCAGCTGTGTTAAACTAATCATTTTTGGTGTGTTCCCATGGAATCTCCCACACACCACAACCAGTCATTTACCTTAACAATGGATATGCATTTAATGCCTACTTTGTTTTTCAGACAATGTAGTCACTTCATATACAATACAACAGTAACTTTGTATCTTTTTATCTTTAGGAGTTCTTTCTTTTTTAATTTTGGAGACACTTCTGCTACATCGAAAGTTGATGTTCTCTGAAGCGTCCTAGCTGATTCACCTGAACTTTCTCAAAAGCAGGTAATTAGAATGCTTGTTTTTAAGGATTAGCTGTCTCTAGTCAGATGAATGATCTTCTAGTGAAATGCTGCTCACCCAAAACACAAGACCATGCATATGTGCATTTAAAATACAGCTGTTGTCTTTAGGGACTAATTTCTGTTCTTAAGATAAAACTTAAGAAGTTGAGGGACAAGTCAAAATTAAAGAAAATGCAGACACTCATCTTTCCACAAGCAGTAAAGAAATGTTTGACTAGCTGATTTTTTTCCAAAACAGTAACTGGTCAGGAGCTGCTACTGTTGAGCTACATTAGGAACAGGAACAGCTGCTTCAGCCCCTTATGGAAAGGAGTACTGGGCAAACACTCAAAAAGACTTGATCAATGGGAATTCAGCCAGTAGTGTGTTCAATGGCTAGAGATGCGCTCCTAAAGCTGTTGGTATTTCTGTCTGTCTGTCTATCTGCTGCAGCAGCAACAGGTTCACTTTGTAGGTGTAAAGACTTATTTCCTGACAAACTCCTGAACTTTTAGAGAATGAAAACAGAATAAACCTCCCTGACATGTCAAAAGGATAACAAAGTCCTAAAAGAGATGGGTTTTGTCTGAAGGAAAACATGACACGAACAGTAGTTTGGTTCTGCTCCCAACTCACAAAGTATAGAAAGCAGTGTCCTTTCTTACCAGACAAATACAGAAGAATATGCACACACCTGTGATTTAAGAGCACTTTATTGTTCTTTAAGGCTACTTTTAAGTACAAAAAAAAAAAAAAAAAGATGGCCTGCCAACCCTTTTTTTTTTTCCAGGTGAAACAGGGCCACAAAAGAATGGTATATTACAGATTTACAAACACAGAGAGAATCTTTCGAACTGAACTGTAGAGAACCTGGCTCTGTGAAGAAACTTCACCATGCATCAGCATGGTGAGTTCAGTTAGTTTCCTTCCACCTCCCCCCAACCCTTTGGCTTTCATGACATAATTGTGTCTAATATAAGTTTTACTGGACACACCACATTAAATCTTTATTGCCCTCAAATCCATTTACCTATCTCAGATAAGTAAATGTAACCTTGTAAAACAGCTATTATTGAAAATATTAGCTTTAAAAACATTATCTTATTTGTGTTTACAAAGAAATATAGGAGTCACATTTTCCACAGAGTCCATCTACAGTATTAGTATTTTACTGTTATAATGCTCAGTAGCCTGTAGCAATAACAAACTAGTGGCTATTAATGCTAATGCAGTGTTCTCATAGAATAACTGTGTTCCTGCACTTTTACTGTATTACAGACAAATCTACAACAAAAAAAAGATCAACTTTTTTCTCCAAACAAAAAAAATGAATGATTACAATAAAGGAAAGGGAAAAATTAAATAGCTACATATCATTAACAAATTAATTGTTCCTCAAAAAATACCTACAAATTTCTCTGTACATTCTTTACGCACAGCGTAACGATGGTCTTAAAGTTACCTATATAAAAAAGTGTTCTTTTAACAATCTTCCTACAGAGAGTAGGGTACTGAATGCCAAAGCAGGTAAGCGTTGACTACCCAGTAAGATGGTAGTGAAATGTGTAAAACTGGGGGCTTAGGTTTTTTTTTTTTTTGAAATCGTTTTTAAAGAAAATTGAGCAGCCACCTTCTCAACAAGAGTAAGAGCCAATCTCCTGATCTTTTTCTACCCTGCACCTTTTCCAAATGAAATAGCTTAACTTTAAAAAAAAAAAAAAAAACCTTAAAATAAAAGCCACAATGGACCCAATACTGTAACATAGTCCATAATACATCACGTGTAGTTTATCTTCCAACTAGTTCTAACTTTCTACAGTGAACCAATCATTTCAGGTAACCCAGTATTTAAAAAACAAAAAACAAACAAAAAAAAAAACACCTTAGTTGCAACTGTACTGGGAAGATGGAATGTATGGGGGAGAGTAGTTGCATTTAACGAGAAGAGAAGCTCTTAGTACTAGCACAGCTGTGGTTTTATGCCTGCCTCTATTGCCTAATTTCTAGTTAGTAGCTATTAATATAGCAAATGATAATAAATGCAGTAATACCTGTATAAAGTTTTCTAATGGAGGAATGTATGCTGCAACTTGGCATAGGTTTATGAATAAGCTTAACAAAATTAAAGATCATATTTCACAAACTGTAACAATCTGTTGTCCAGCCAAGATACGTAATGGTAGCAGTTTCTGCAGCTAGTTAAAGGTGGATTACACAGACTTAGTTTTAGGAAGCAAATTCCTGTTAAGCAGACAGTGCTGCAGACAGAAACAATTACTCAGTCTTGCGCAAAGCTATAGCATCCTGTACCACGCATCATATATTTTTAAACTGCATCATTTGAGGCCTGTCCTGAGGCTGTCCTCTTTTGCTGGCTGCTACTAAAGAGAATATCAAATACAAATATCATAGAGTACAACTGTACCAGCAGTAAGTATATCTAGGATTGTTACTGACAAAAATAAACTAATTCTGAAGAAAAGCTAATAAGTATTATGATTCTTACTGTCTATACATTAATAGATACCAGCTATTTTTCATAAAACATGCATCGTTAAGCACTATTGAACCCTCCAACCTCAGCTCTAGTCTAACAAACTGCAGTGTTTAGGAAAAAATGCCCGTGTTCTGTAAATTATGCAGTCCAGTTGCAAGCACCTAAGCACCTGAAATCTAAAGAGAGAAAGACCGATAACCTGTATGAGACTTCCCCTTCCAAAGCTGTTTTGCTTTAAGAAAAAAATCAAACTGATAGAAATGTCATCCTTAAACCCTTTTTTCAGCAGTTTGCCCTCAAAATATTAGCATCTTCCAGAAAGCTGCTATGCAACTTCAGTCCTCCAATAGTGCAAATCATACATGACAGTTCTTTTCAAGTATATACATACAAAATTACTTCACAGAGAGGGGGAGGGGAAAAAGCAATGTAAGCAAACCAGACAAATTCTAGTCTGAAGAAGCTAGTAAAGCAAAAAGCATTTGGGTCAACCAACTATGTGTAATGGCTTTTGTGGATTAGCGTGCATTTTTTTTTTTTTTTAAAAGGGGCAGCAGATTTGCATCAGAGGTTTCTTTGGTAATTGAGGCAGGAAAAAAAAAAGGATGCTACATCATATGACTCTTTATGAAATAGTTCCTGCTATCATCTTTAAGGGCACCCTTTTACAAATAAAAAGTGAGTACACAAAAACATGTGTTGAAAACTAATCTCCCCTCCCCCAACACTACTTTAAGCACTGTTCAAAGCTCAGTCAAACCATGCAAATTCACAAACGTAACGGTCCTCTCTTCATGAGACTACAGAGGGCGAGTGATTATGATTGACCATATGGGAGGAAGGGGAAGACTGGCCCCGTCGTGAAGCAGACTCAGGACTGCTGGACACGCCGTCCTTTGCAGCTTTAATCTGAAGCCATGTATCCCCAAGTGCTTTGGCAAAGTGGTCATCGACTGATCCTGTGATGGACACAGAGTTTGCCACTGGCTCAGGCTCCTTGTAATTCTTGCCAAGGCTTCGGCGGAAGTGCTCTTCCACCACTGGGTCACAGGCAGTGGTAGCTAGATGGGGAAAGGAGGCAGAAGAAACGTTATTTCTGTGCAGAATCCTGGCACCAAATACTGTTTTCAGAGTCCTTGATTTCTTCCCATTTTTATATCATCTATGCCTAAAGCAAGACTTCTTTAGATCATACAACTGGTAGTGAAGGGCACTGGGAAAGAAAATAGCAGGATTTAAAATGCAGAAGAAAAGGGAGCTACTATAATATCTTTGCACTTGTGTGACTTGCACTAGATGATAACCATTTTATATCATTATAATTCTCCCTCAAGTTCATAACAGGATTTTGCATCGCCACTGAGTCCGTGGAAACCCTTTCCCCCAGCAATCACATAAAATTATAATTAGGCTTAAATGGAATTAAAAATCAAAATAGTTATTTAAAATCAGCTCCCAAGTCTGCTGACAGCAGCCAGAGGTGAGTAAGACCCCATTCTAAATTACTGTATGTCACGAGCTGATTTAAGGGTTTCATCTTTCTTACTTGACATGCTCATAAGAGGAGAAAGCCAGAAAACTGCATGAATCATTACCTCTGCCTTAGGTACTAGCATTTAAATAGTGTGATACTGTTACAAGAGAAAAAGAACCTTGAAAAACAGGTTTTGAATGGTAAGAGTAATAAATAATTCCTCTGAGTAAATATGAGCAGTTTGTAGCTTTACAGTTCAGACACGCAGGTTGTGTCTAAAAGACATCATCCTTCAGAAATGCTTAAAACGGAAAGAAATGCTTTAAATGGTCAGGATCTGTGCCATCATTCTTCATGCTCCTGAAGGGCCTTGATCGATCCTAAAATAATTGCACGTATCATGCAGAAAGACCTTTTCAAGGTCTTTTCAAGACAAGAGAAAAGTATTTTCTGAAACTATTTACAAATAGTTTCCAAAGCCCATGTAAATACAGCTGGGTTCTCAGTGAAGAAGCTCTCTTGAGATAAAAGTAACATCTCAGATCTCTAACTACTGATTTCTCCAAGAGCATAATACATCCTCCAGGGTCTGGACATTCCAAAAATCACTTTGGCATCTTACTCCAGTTTTCAACAAAACAAACAAAACAAAACAAAAACATCTAACGCCCCTCCCCCCGACTTCCACTAAAAAAACAACGTACTGTGATCTTTTAGGTTCCTACCTAGCTCATACCGACTTCATTACACTGATACATTCTGGTTGGAGAAAGCCTCACTCCTATTTTACTGAACCTGTCACTTCTGAAAATGCTATGTCTATGAGTCAGTAGGTATAGGACTTGAAATGAAAAAGGCTCCATTTTTCCCCTAATCACACAGTGAGAAGGAGTGAAGAGAAATAACCCAAGTTTTATTTCCAGGTACTGCATGAAAAGATTGCATGAAAAGTACTAATTGCACTGAAGGTACAAAACTAAAGCTCCCTGCTTGGGTTGCTGTAGCAACTGCCCGCGCCAAAGCTTTTTCTGTTATCCACGCAGAGAACAGTGCAGGGTATGTGCTTTGGAAGAGTATTTGTAGCTATAGGAAAGAAGATTTTTCAGACTGCTTCTGAATCATCAACGTCTGCTGACTAGTGAAAAACAGACTGGGAAAACTACAGCCTCTAAAATAATAGCATGGTTGGATCTGCTGGTCCTGTCTGTTTGCTGTTCGTCAATTAGACGAAAATAAGCATAATGACTTACTTGTCTATTCTTTTTTTTTCTTTTTTCTTTTTTTTTTTAAAAAAAACCTTTCATGAAATGGTACCTCCCACTGTGGCATAAGATTGATGCTTAGTAAGACTGCAGAGGGGCTCTGTGCTGGTATAAGTCTCTGTCCACGTAGACCAGATAAAGAAGAGGTATGTATTATTTCACCTCCTTTTATTCATGTTAATACACCAATGCCCCTGCAGTTAAAGCTGGCAAGACAATCTTGTTCTCCACAAATTCAAATCAGGCAGTGACACTGCTGATGTGTAACTTACTGCTAGATATTGCTGACCCGCAGCCACTGTGAGCAATGGGGCAATGAGAGAGGTTACAGTTCCGGTTGTTCGCAGAAGCACATGTGATTACAGATGGACGGTTCTAATATGAAAGAAAAGCAACTGTCATTCAATGAGCTAATTAGACAGAGCCATACTAACTGTAGTTCATTGCATAATTACCTGAGAGGTACACAAACTTAACAATCTGAGCCATGAAATAAACTATAAAATGTCCAATCCAGTAGAGCATGTTAAACCCCAAATATTCAGCTATTTCCTTCTCTCTCATTAAATAAAACAATGCATTTCCATAATGGTTCTTAGTCATTTAAGCAGCAAGCAGCCATCCAGAAAAAAAGACGGTATAAAAGCAAATCAATGAAAGCATTAAGGAGATCTTGCACTGTTTCCCTTTCAGATTCATTATATATGCAGAACTAAATGTCAACACAGTAAGTACTTGTTTCATATACATCCACAAGTCCTTCTGATTGCAGGACTCAGAAGTGCTTTACAAATCTTACAGGTATCTGTCTCGTGAGCATTAAACAAATTTCAATGGCATCACTCTTCATTTAGAAGTTAGTGTTCCTAGACTGACTAATTCTGTATTCTGTACTTCAGCTAAAAAAACAATAAGCCCATGATATGAAACCTGAAGAGGTGCTGACCAAGTGTTGCTTGCAAGTACTTTCCTGCTGTAATTTGTGCCTTTCTAGCACTGCTTAAAAAAATCTTTTCTTCATTCTCAACAGCACACGCCAATTCCCCAAAACGTGTATTCACACAATCTTACCTCTACAATATATGCGTTATACACAGTGTAAATATAAAATACACTTATTACAGTTGTTTACCATGTGTTATATTGGAACAAGGCCTTAGGAAAAGAAATGCCCAGGTTTCTCCAAATGACTAAAGGGAAATAACACAGGTATTTAAATATTTTTGCTTTGCATCTTTAGTATATTTTATGATGCAAGGAGTTCATTTTGCTATACTCGAATAAAGTTAATGTTAAATGTCTAAAAGATTAACAGCATTGTTGTAATAACACAGTTTTAATTTCTTATCCATTTTACAACCCCCTGCAGCAAACCCACAACAATCACTACTTTACCTACCACCATACAAAGTCAATGAAGAAGGAAAGAGCTTTCATTTTTTAGTGGTACTTTAGTCTAGACAGAGTAAGAGCAAGATCAAAGTAACAGAGACGGGCCAGACACAATGGGAACAGTGCTATTTACATCTTACTGCACTGACAGCAAAGTCAAAAAGTAAAGAAAAAATATGCCAGCTATTTGATTTCTCTGTACGCAGTTCAAACGGCGCCAGGATGGCAGTATTTGTTTTCTTTTTCTATAGAGGCCAAGATTTTGTGCATCTACGAAGTATTGTTTTTGAGAAGTGGATACCTACTTCTCTGTTCAGAAAGCTATTTTAGAGATGCAAGAGGTGGGAAGTACAGAGAGAGAGGTAATAAAAGAGCTTGTCTCACGAATGCATGTACTAACAAACACCGCACAGGTTTTGAGAGGTGGGGATAAGGCAGCTTATAGAATCCCCTGATGTGATCACATACAGGTATACTGAACAGGCTATGTATATTAATACGAAAATATTGAGATGAGAAGCTGACAATTTAATAGCAGTGACTATAGCTGCTGAATAACCATTATGCTACCTGTAATAAGTGCCTTTTTACCCTCCTATTTATTAGAAACATACAATAAGATGAAATCCCATTCAACGTGTTAACTTAAGGTAAAAATCAAGCTGAGGTTTCTTATTCTCCATATGCTTGCTTTCTTGTATGATTTCTTAGCAAGGTCTTACCTCAACATCCTATTTCCCCAAGAAAATAGATATTGTAATCTGGCTCATAATGTCAACGATAACAAAACAGAGAGAAATCTGGTTATGGGCAGTAGGAATCAGCCCAAGTCAAACACAGTAAAATAGTAGAGTGTCAGTGGTGTTAGCTGCCAAACTGAGAAACAGCAGTAATACTATCAAAGGGCACCAGTGTCGTCAGTGGAAGCCTGTCCCTTCCTCCTCTGTCATCACTGAATGCTGAGAGCATAGAAGAGCTGTTCTGCACAGAACAATAACTCTGGGACTTGTGTGCCAAATGATGCAAGATACCAGCAACACGAGTATAAAGCTAGGCGCTTTGGCATAGCAAAATATAAAAGACGACTTACTTATGTACATATACAACCACAGTGAAAACTTGTAACAGTAGATTTAAGGTATACGCTGCAGTGGAAAAAAACATTCCCAAATTGCATGTAAAAAATCCCAGCTTCTGAAAGATCATCCACTCAAAGTGTTTATACCCTTTGCAGTGCACCATAGGAGGGAAGGAAGGAAGGAGGGAATAACTTGGGTGCA